TGAATTTTTATTTTAAGTGAGAGTTTTTTAATTAGTTTGTGTTATGCGCTTAATTACCACAATTATGAACTTAACTTTTTTAGTTGACAAACATGAAAAAGATGGAGTTGCTACAATGAGATTTTCTTCAGTAATCTTCATGTTTCTGTTCATGTAGTAGCTCATTAGAAGCTAATTCTTTCAACACACGTTATTTAAAATTTATTTAAAAAACAAGCAACAAATCCGAGCCTAAATTAAATTTTTTATCTCTGTTCTTGTAGCAGCTTTTTTTAAAATGTATTTCTTTAGAAATTAATTCATTTAACAAACACATTTAACTTTCTGTTTGTGTTGTGAGAAAACTAAGCAACAGTTTTTGTTCTCTGAGCCTCTAAAGGGTTAAAGGTGCAGTAATAAGCAGGTAAACAGTGACGCTGCGGTTTGGGCCTTTAATTCAGGATTACGTCATCACAACACGAGGCCCCTCCCCCCCTCCTCCTCCTCGTTCCCCCTCCCCCCTCTGCTCTGATTGAGCGCGTGCCGCAGCAGAGCGACACTCCCCCTAAAAACCGATGCGCTTTTTCTCGGTGTTTTAAGGTAACCAGGTACGAGGGCGGGGCTCCGTGCGGATCATCTGCGGCTTTGTTGTCGTCAACAGGCCGAGCTGCGGCTCCTCCCTGCCGGGGAAAGAGAAGAGGAGGTTCGGGCCGCCCCTGGAGCTCCAGGCCGCCGCATGGCTGGAGCTCCAGGTCCACTGAGCTGCTTCTTCATCGGCCAGTTGAAGTTGGTCCTCCGGCACACTGAAATGTTCCACCATTTCCTTATTTCTGCTGTCTGCAGCATCACTGAGTCCGGATATAAAAACACACTGCGCAGCTTTGCAGGATTTTAATTACAGGACGCGATTCTGCAGTTTTTAATCAGTTTAATATGTGAAAACTGAAACTGTATGGAAGCCCATTCATGCCAAGAAAAAAATGGCGTAAAGGCAAAGACACACTGTTAGGTTAAGAAACTGGAACACAGAAAGTCAGATTTATATGTACGATTACACAACGAGGAGCCGTGCATTATACAGTTTGAATGCACACAGCGGAGTCGAAAGTGCATTCCGCTAAGTGCATTCAAACCGTGTAATGCACGGCTCCGAGTTGTTTAATCCTCTTATACCGTGGTCCCACACAGCGAGCAAACACATAAAATGTTTATTGAATTAATTGAACTTGCTAAAAATGGCTAAGTTTTTGGGACTACTTTATGCAAGTCTTAGAGCACCGTTGAAAGCAAGTCGCCAGAGCGGCGTGTGCGTATACACGAAAATAATGCATGCCAGTTAGCCGTAGAATTCTCACTGACCATGGTATAAATTGTATTATTAACATCACGGTTTGAAGGAAATGGGTCAAATATGACCATAAATCAAAATTAAGAGTCAGGCGAGCAGAATTGTTATTGTTATTATTTACTGTCATTAAATGAATCTGCATTTTTTTTTAATCGTTTCAAAATATGACAACTGAAATTTACTTCTGCTTTTTATTTCCTCATTTTTCTGGTTTTCAGAGATTAAAACTTGACTCAGTTCTTGAGACTCAAGTTGTAACTATCTGTATGGAAGCCCATTTATGCCGAGAAAAATAAAAAGAAGAGAAAAAAAAACTGTTATGGTAAGGAAACTACAACACAATAAAAAATTGTATTGTAAATTAAAATTTTAAGATTTTTACTTTGGTGACTTCAAAGTGTTGAATCTTTCTGTCAAAGTCCAAAATATAATATAAGTCAAGGTTCTAACTTTATTTAATGTCATAATATCTTCTAATTGTAATTTCTAAGCTACAAATTGGGGATACAAAGTTACAATTCAGAATTTTTATATCAAGACTTTAGCAAAATTCTAAAATTAGTCAAAATTCTGGCTTCAGTCAAGGTTTTAATTTGGGTCAAAAGAATTGATAAATGTAAATAAAAATTACAAGAAGTCAATAACAACTGGGATAAGAAGTTTACAAAATGAATAGAATAATTAAAAGAAAAATATACATGTATACGTAATGTGCTTTTATTTTTTGGACTTTTTCATGTTTAAAGATAGATACTTAACTAAGTGTAAAAGTGTAAAAACAATTAAATTAATTGTTAAAAAAATGCTTCATTAAAGTTATAATACAAATACTTAGGTGTACTTCTTAGGGAAAAAAGTGTCATCAGTTGGGTTTAATCTAATTTCATTGAAAAAAATAGTTTTAACAAGTTTTCATTACAATAATTTATATTTCACACGTCTTTAATGTTAAAATAAACTTGGCAATAAATATTACACTAAACATTAAAGAACTTTAGAAAAACTAAAAGCTATAAATTAATGGATTTACCTATGAAAAACTGGGAAAATAATAAATTGGTAATTTTACACCCTGTAACGTAACTTCACATATAATTCCTGTATATTTACTAGAGCTTATTGTTATGTTGTTTTGAGCCATTGCACAAGTAAATTAAATGCGTAATTTATTTCTTTTTTTTTAAATCTGGGAAATAAAAATGCAAAAAAATCATTAAAATTACAGATTTTTTTGTTTATTTATTTAGTCATTAAAAAGGGGTTAACTCCAATAAGAAGCAATGGGGAAATAATGTTTTTTTTTTGAAATTTTTTTATCAGACTTTTTTTTTTTTTAGTAGAAATCTAATGTTTAAAGTCATGAAAATGTTTTATTAAGTTGCAGTTGTGGCAGAAGAGAAAATGAGTTATTAGAATTTGCTGACTCCTGTTTTTTATTTTCTTGGCAGTAAAGGTCTTCCGTACATGTTGCAGCTGCTCTAAACTGCTTTTCTCTGCAGTCAGATTCACTTTATTTCTGCTGATGTGACGTCTGTTTGCTGTTTCACCTCCTATCTGTCGTGTTTCTGTGTTTGATTACCGGCTTTCTGAACATACTCTGCTCGTCTTTCGTCGCCGCCCGCCAGTGTTTTCACTCTGCTGTTTGTTTCGCCTCAGGGATGATTCAAACTTTCATCTGCTCCATAGAAATCTCTCTGACCTTGAGCTGCTGCTGAGCTTCGGCTGACGTGGACGAGGGTCGGCCTCTTCCTGCTGAGGCCCTGCTCGGTTTTACGAGGCCTCTGGTCCCGTATGGGCCTGTATATACTCTGATCCTATAGGCTGCAGCCACAGAGATTTTATTGTCTCTGCCTTGGAAACCAGCCCGTCCTTAGGAACGCTTGTTTTTAAGACTCAGAAATTACCCAGAGAGAAAACACATGGTTGCTGCAGGCGACTGGAAATGTTGAGCATGTTTTCACTTCTTTTTAGATTCATTTGGGGTTTTTTTTTTTGATTGGGGCAGCGTGAGAAAGGATGAAGTGAAGACACATGCAGCTTGATTAAATCTTTACACATGAGCAGTGATGCACGTTGTTGGACGCAAAGGTTTGATGCTGATGCAAAATATATCAATAGAAGGGGCTCAAGGTGCTAAAAACTCACAAAGTTTGCCTCACTTGGTGAAAACTAACATCTATTTGTGCACTGTAAAAAACAACAACTGATTTTATAAAGTTAAAATTAGAAGTTCTGACTTTAAAGTCACAGTAAACTACGATTTCAAAACAAAATACATTTACATGACACTTAAGATCTGAGACGTACGGACATGTAGCTGGTAGAAGTTAATAAGTTCAACTTCGTCGACTCATTTTCAGACATTATTTAAGGATTTGTTAGTTTGTTTGTTTGTTTTTCTCATTTTGTGTGTTTTGTTTTCTCTTTTTTTGGCTTGATGATCCTGTAGCAGGTCTGAAATAAATCAAATGAATAAAAAAAAGAAAACAAACATGGTGAGTGTGCTTGGTTGTCTGTGTGGCCCTGCGACAGACTGGTGACCTGTCCAGGGTGTC